ACCATACGACCCAGTCCAACGTGTGTAAATGTTTGAGAGTGCATGACTCGAATTTCTGGAAGGTTAGGCTGACCGGGTTTGTTTCGCTTAATTTCTGTTCTACCTTTTGATATCCAGAATTTTGTCCTTAATTTTGAAAGTGTATGGACAATTTCAGCGTAACGTAAAACCTTGTGCTGCTATTGTATGAAAAGTACAGTTATGGGAATTATGTTACAAAAAGTAAATTGGATATAAACTGTCCTCATTCAATTCGGAATTTCCAATCGACTTTTGGATTTCCAATAGCAGTTTTCTTTATCGTAATATGGATTCCATTTATTAATTTGCAATCATCTGTTGCAAGTTGACCGTTTATCGTTGATAAGATTGTAGCTATGGTATTTGTCTTCTTGCTGTAATTTTATGAATTTAAGAGTTCATCATGCAATAGTCTTTAGTAATTTTAACACTGACTAAAACGATTTGCATCTGTAAATTTAAAACTTTTTCTTATAATTTTTTTTGTTGCTTTTACGATAGGGATTTCACTTTCTTCATTTGCTATGGCTATTATGGCTAGTTGATTTCCCCCTTTTCCAGCAACGGTCGTCCTTTCCACTATATTTCATAGTTCGGGAACGGTCCTGGATTCAGTGTAGTAGACATTTACTTCCAGTCTGACCATAAAGTTACTGGTGCATTTTCGAGACCTAACTGATTTATTACAAAATGGACAATAAGTATTGCTAATAACTCCATTCAAAGTATACTGATGCCTTTAATTGGTACGATTCAGTATTAAATAAATTAAATATCAAGGACTACGCGTGTATACAGCCGCAGAATAGGCCACAGTTGATGTATCGGTGATGACATGGAGTTGCGCTTGCTCTGAGCAATATGTCACTTTTATGTTTATGTTTGTTGATTATTTGTTTATCGGAGATTCCCACGTTTCTTTGTCTTCTTCACTTATAGATTGATCCCAAGCATTATTTTTTCATGAAATTTGAAGAAAAAATTTGGATTACGTGATAATCAGAATGAGGAATCTCATTGGGTCGGATTGAGGTGTTCTAAAATGTAAAATTGTTCTTTTTGTTAGATCCCTTTCATTCCAGGGTTTTAAGATGACTTGGATGACATCCTTTTTGGAATTCCTATCAACACCAAGAATTTTCTTAAATAATTTTGCTCATTATCACTTGAAAGAAATTCCCTTCTTTATAATTTTTGAGTGCTTCTTGGATTTCTTTAGTTAGTAATAACATTGTCAACACAGAGATTTTTTCAGATTTCCGAGATAATTTCGCTTCCTTGAGTTCATAGATAATAGTTGAAAGTTGGATGATGATATCCCTTAACCAGAGGAATCGAATGTAATTTCGCTCTGATAGAAATAATTCCAGTTGCATTCCATCATTTTGAATCGAAACAATGCACCTGCTAAATCATTGAATGTAATTGGACCGTGGTATAGAACAGAAAATCGTTCAAACTTACCATTCTTTTGAGGTCGGCAAAAGCATCGTAAATGATTCTTAATTTTATTGTTGATTTGCCGATTCGGTATTAATACCTCATGATGGGGCAAATAGTATATAACGCCAACCTGGATCATTTGCGATTGTCTAAGGTTACTTCTTCAATGATATTGGATTTTATTTATTCTTCAACTATATTATTGTATCGATTAAGTAGCAGTTTATCGGTTTGAAGTTGTTAATGTCTTCAATCTCTCAAGGTAAAAACCATAATTATCATTTAGGATAACATTTGAATCTTTCCTAAGTCAAGATGCTTGATATTTTCCATTTTGTTTAGTAATAGTTTCTTTGAAATGTTCAGCGTCTGTTCGTCATTATGAGTATTGGGTTGTTCCTGAATGTCTATGAGTTCTAATTTCCAGAAATGGTTTGGTTCTGAACAGACGTGATATCAAATTTGATTTGGTCTTTGTCATAATTAGATGTATCCATTTCCAATTATTATAAAACCAACCTTTGTGGGGATTGCATAGAATCCTGATACCATATTGTAGCTTTGGTTTGGCGATATGAAATTAAAAAACTAGTCAGCCCAATAAATATATCGAACCTTTTCCAATATCCTCTTTCCTCATCTAGCAATTCTTGAGATATCATACGTGGCAAATCATGGTGGCTCTATTTAACTACTTGTAGTTTTTCTATTAGGCGATCTAACCGTAAGCATTAATAGGTATACTTTTAGATTCCAAAGTTCTTACTCCTTTTTCCACTTTTGTAATCTGACATGATTTTGGAGTTTTGTTACTAAATGAAAAGAATTTCAAATCAAGATTTCCTTTACTGGAACCTATTAATTGCGTAAATTTCTTGGACAACGTCGTACTATGAGAAACTTTACGGTGGAAACAAGGAAGTTTCCCTTTTTTGCAATCACTTGTTGCAATTCTTTCGAAAACATTTGAAACATGTGACAATTCCCCTCAAACGTTCCATACGGAGCTTAAGCCTGGGATAAATGTTACATTCATTATTCCAATGGTCCTTGTTGCTGCTAGTTTTTCCCCTCAGATGAATTTCCTTTAATTCTAGGACTTCAATTTGGATGATTTGGTTGGAAAAAAATGTCATCCTTAACATTATGTTTAATTAGTTTCTTTTATGGATCGATCATCTTGTTGATTCTGACTTTACTTGGTACATCTTGTCCAATATCCAAACCGGTAGTTTATTTTCAATTGCAATTTCGATACTTTGATCCTTTAACTTCTCAGCAATGGCTTCCAATTATCGAAATAATCTTTCTATTGCTTCAGTAATTGCTTTCCAGTCACGATCATTTCTTCTGATGGAATGTATTTCATTGTAAATTGATTCTTTATAATGAAAGTTTTATCATACTTCTTTGCAAATATGACTTCGTAGTAATACTTTAAGAAAAAACATCAGATAGTTTAGTTTCTGAATATTTGGAAATGTTTTGATCATGAACTGCTGCACTGAATCAATCACCACTAAATGCTATTAGTATAGGTTTACTGTTGCGTTATTGGTGGAGACCACTTTTCCATTTGAGGTTGACTATCCGATATCTTCTTTACTTGATCCTTGGTATTATTTACTACTTCACAATCCTTCCTATACATTTGCAAAGTAATGATAACTTCTCTTGTATTAGTTATTAAATTCTTTTGCATTAGTTGACAATAGTTTAATTTCTGAATGTCTGGGATGTTACATTAGCTATTAAATTTAAGTTAATTAAAATTTAACTATAACAATCAAGACGTCAAATAATTTTTTTGATGACTCGCAATTTGATTTTGCATTACTTTAAGTTCTCGTGGAAGCGTTCGATCCAGTGAAGCTACATTGAGTTCGTTTACTTACTCAGAAGTTTTCGGGTCTTTTTAGTATTTCGGTTTCTTTCATCAAAACCAAACAACTGTCATCGTCTGATTCAGGTAGATTGTAGCTTCGAATAATTATTATTTTGCAGAGAAGACGACATTTGAAAAATGTTTATTTCAATGAGATAAAAAATACCATTGACCATAGTTATAGAACAATATTAGGAGAGCAGTGAATGACAGATTGTTATCTAGAAAACTTAACCTCAATAAAAGGATATAATTCCTTATACAGTGAGCATTAACTGATAACAAGACGCATGATTTGAAATATCGCAGAGGAGGTCAGGTAAACGATGCCAAATTCGAGTATAATTTACAGTTAGTAAGGAACCGACAAACAAAAGAGGTCAACTAAATGAGGAGCTGATCCAGCACGTGTTCTTTGTTAACAAACAATGCAAGTTAAGTAACAATGTAAATAAACTCAGCTATATGGATGATGAATATTGGATAAATGATTTCTTAGGTAAAAATTTGCATTACAAAGTCCAAAGAATGTTCAAACAAAAGAATCTTTAGCTCTGTGGATGTAATATAATTTTAAGTAAAAGATAAACATTATCTGAGAATGACAGATCTTTACTCGTTGTCATCGTGAAGTTTGCTGTAAGTGTAATTTCCATTATATAAACAATTAAAACTATTGTCTGCTCAGTTTTTGATATTGCAAGTTTTAATTCCGTTTGTCTCAGCACTCTTTCGCTTAGTTCGCCTATGTGTCAGTGCGACAATTTAGCGAACAGTTAATGGACTGCTGGTATATTTATAGTCACTTTGTTCATTTCTTCCCTATTTTTATATAAGCGCGATATTGGACGATGTCATTAAAGAACAAGAAAGCTATTACCGACGTTTGAAGTTATAACAACAAGAATTACAAATGAAAACTTTCCCAACATTGCTTCTATACGTAAGAAAAATTTGCAAACTTTGTAAAAAATTCAGCTATATTTCTGGTTATTTACTATGTATATTTAAAACACTTCAAACGCTTGCAATTTTATCGTTTTTGTGTCGTAGCAAACACTTTTAATAAATCTTCAAATAAATCTATGTAAAGCAACAGTGTCACAGAGAGCTTAATTGGCTATAAAGCCATATCACAGGCTCTTCGTTCCTGTCATGGTCTTTTACCATAAAATTCATGAACAAAGGAAATCTGATGGCCATGTTATCTTTCATTGATGCGTATTTTGTTTTTCTCATAATTTTTCGCAACTCTATGATAAATAATAGCTCTTTTGTGTTGGATTGCTTAAAAGAAGAGGGCGATGAGAAATTAAATTTTACTTTAATTTCTTTCATTCGAATTTGAAACGGACTTTATGGAGAATTTTTTACACACTTTGTTTTTGATGCGTCTAAAGTAAACGGTATGGCCATTATTTGGATTATTTGGAGATTATTTTTGTCGACATACAGGACGTATTGTCTAGTTCTAGAACTCATTTCTAGACAGAAATCTGAAGTATAATAAAAGTGAATGGAAAATTTTACGAACAGAAATGAGATGTATACCACATCTTCGATATTTTAGCAAATAGAAGTACCGAAAACCTAAATTTATAAACTATATATTTTAGCGCTTAAATAGAAAAATAACTGAACGATATTTAAATTAAACAATTAAAGTATCATTTTTATCGATAACAATGATATTATCATTAACAAACAATTGTCGTTGAGGTTTTTTCAATGCTAATGTTATTGCGATGTTAGTTACATCATTATTATCTGCTGTGGCACTATCACTTGCCATTGTCATATTCACTGAGGCTGCTGTTGAATTTAACACAACTTTTGCAACCGTAGTATTGTTGGCATCGGATGTTCTGGCTGTTAGCAAGTCATGTCCAGTCTGTGTTGTTGAAGCTTCACAATGGCCATCATGTTGACCGCTACTACCACTGTTTCCCGTTGACGGGTGGTTTTTAGCTGTATACTTGAACAATTTATTAGACGTTAACATACATCCATGATGCGTTGGAGGAACTGTTTTCGCACTCGAATTACATAACAAACGACCTATTTCATGCCGTAACTGCAAGTAAAATATTCCTACTATACATAAAGCTTGATTTTAGCTCCACTAAATTTATCTTTAAATATAACTCATTCTTTGTTTATTGGTATAATGAAAAAAAAAAAAAAGCTTCAGAAAGAAACCTGAGTATTGAAGAGTAAATATACTGTCGGATTGATAGAGTTATTTATGAAAAACAGCGAAGTCATAACAAAGTAAGCCCATTTTGATTCAGATATATGAGGAAGCCACTGCCATGTTGTCCAGGTCAGTAGAAAAACCAATGAAACCAGAAAAAACTAAAACTTTTATCAAGACTTGAAACAACAATGATTTGCAAAACTTTCTAGCAGTATCAAATTCAAAATGAAACAAATTTAATTCGTTTACTTGTATGAAAAGTCTCATCTCTTTTTTGCTAATTTGTCCACGTGCTGTTCTAAAACTGTTCGATCTCAGGTATGGATCACTACCACTTTCTAAGCGGCTGTCTTCTATCTGCAAACATACCAAACCAGTAACATTCTTTATAAAAATCTGAATTAAGAATTCAAAGTTTGTTTCAAAATTCCTTCCGTAGACATCATTTTGCAAAATTAAAAGTGCTAAAATCATTAATAGTATTTGCAAAAAGTTTTCAAATCATCGAACAAAATACTTTATACAGTTACTTAGCAGATTTGTATTTAATGCATTGCGACTGCGATACTGAGGATATTTTTTATTTTTAAATTAAGAAGGAATTAGGTTTGATGATTAAAAGATTACCATTAACTGATGTTTAGCCATTGCTTGGCTACTTTCCCGCACTTTGTAGATAATTATTGCGTAAGAAATAATCATAACTAGCAAAGACAAGCTGTTGACACCCACATCAATATATTTATACCTAAAAATGATGCGTGTTTGAGTTCATAAAAAATTGCAAAACATGAATTACTTTTTAAAGCTTGCTTAATTTATTTCAAAATGTCAATTTAAATCGAAATTCTCCTCTTCTGTGTTTTCTAAACTTTACTTTACTAAAACTGCAGATGATCCACCTCACTAAGTAAGTGACTTCTGATTTATTTTTAATGGCAATAGTATCTTAAATAGAAGTGAAACTCTTTATTGCATTAAAATGAATTAAGTAATAATGTTAGAGGTAAATTTAGTTTTGTAGAACGGTTTGACGGTTTCTAGCTAAATGCTTGATTAAACTTTCTCATATTCCGTTTCTTATTTCACTCTTTTTAGTTCTTCAGAAGAATAAGAGGAAAGCACAGTTAAATCATACCCCAAATTACATTACATTCCATGTTATGCTACTATGGAATTTAATTAGGAAGAATAATCAGATCAAAGATTCTCAAAATATCCTTCCACCAATTGTCATTATCAACCTCAGGTGTAATGAAATTCCAGATCTTCAAAGCCTATGCAGCTGCGATTCATTCTCTTACGAACGAACACAATCAGCCTCAAGATCCAAGCAACTCCTATGAGGAAATCGATTTTACAATGATTTCGTTATTATTAAAATTACGCAACGTTTCCGCAATGTGCCGCTTTGAAGGCAAAATTGCTCTTATAAATCAATATAATATGTAGTACTTACAGAAAAACACTGCCAGGATTCCAACGAAAAAAAAACAAATTAAATTAAGATTTCATGGAAATAGCAAAAAATTAGCTATTCTCGTCAAAATTAATTTCGAAATCCGTATAAAACATCAACACTTTGTTGTGAATACCCTATTCTCTGCAACGTTTTTTCAGTTTCTGTACCGACCTTCAAATGGGTAACTGCATCTTATAAAATGTTTCTGATGTTATTAAGAAAGTTTGGTCCGTTACAATTCTGATTTATCTGTTTTTAATTACCTCGCTGTTGCACAATGGTCTTTTGCTACTTTAAAGCAACAGGCTACAACTTGTCACTACGTGTGGAAAAATACCAAAAAGCTTATCGTAACATAAATTAAAATTCTGCATTTCAGGGGAGATATCCGCAATGTATCACCAGCCAATCAAATAAAGCTATCATGCGAAAAAGAAGTACACATGACACTAAATGCAAATGGAATCAACTCGGTATTCAATAGTGCAGCAAGCATAATGAAAAATATTCCGCTTATAAAATCTTTTATCATAATGGATCGTTTGGAGCTTGTGGGGTTGAAATTGTTAGCTATGATATTGGCATTATCAATTTCGATAAATCTAATAAGTCTTAGTTCAAATTAAATGAGTCAAATCTGCTCAGACATGAAATTATTAGTCACAAGTTTGCAACGAAATAGTACACAATACATATATCAATGCATGCATTTCTTTTTACTTCACCTCATATGACAGACATGAAATAGTTTCTACCGTAATATCACATGCCATTTTCAAATTCACTCCAACAATTTATGCCAGTAATGAAGTATTGAATGTGAGTGTTGTCTAACTCAGGATAGAACAGGAATAATATTGGTCCTTGCACTGTAAGGCTTGAAACAAAAAAAAAAAAAAAAAAAAAAAAAAAAAAAATTTTTAAATGAAATAAAATGACACGACTAAAAAATATGACATATGAATATCGGACATGCATCAAACATTTTAAGTGATGATTTCTCTCGCTTTGAGGTATTTCTACATTTTTGAATTTTTTGTCCAGGAGAGTCAATTATAGTCGATCTTAATTTTGAGTTATCAGTCGTTGCTCTGAAATTTATTACATCTATTTTTGCTTTCCAAAAAGCTCCATGAATATGACAAATTCATTTAATTGGAAACGTCATGTTTGCAAAAGTATGTAGTGAACAACCAAAACCTCTTACATGCAACCAACACTTTTGCATCACAAAATGCAATTAATATGAACATGTGGCATGCATCAAATACTTTAATTGATGACTATTTAAGAAAAATTTCGGAAAAAATAATTGCAATCGTTCCTTATTATACTTATTTAGTTAGTTATATCTAATATTTTTATTTCTTCTCTATATGATGCTTTAATGACTACGTGTCCTAATCTAATTCCTCCCAAATGAATACTTTGACTCTGTGAAAAATTAATGCTTATTTACATCATTAATATATTTCCATCATTCTATCATCTATGTTTTTAATCAAACAGTTCAATATTGATTCCTTATTTAATACAATGCCTTTATCTCCCGTATTTCAAATGTACTGAGGTATGCATTGCATTTGCCATCCAATTTTTTTTTTTTTATTTGCTTATTATTCTACTTCACTATCCATTGTTACTAAACTGGAAAGCTTTTAAAAGTGATAAATCATAGTAATATATCAAAAGGAAAAATAGAAGACAAGAAAAAAGTGAGAAATTATTTAACTATTACTGTTATTAGAATTTGTTTAAACAATACGACACTAGTATTTCTTCATAAATTTACAAAAAAAAAAGTTTTGATTCTTTTTTACTTAATTTTCTACTAAACAGAATTTACTTTAATACTTTTTGTAAATTTCTAAAGAAAATGTAAATATCACATGATATGAGAATACTTCAATAATTATTCAAACTCAGTTCAAAAATAGTCATATTTGTTTCACTCACTAATTTAGTTTTCTTTTTCTCTAATTTATTTAGGCTTTGAGATTTCAATGAAAACAACTGTTTAGAAGTAATTCATCTAACTTTAAAAAATGTTCAATTTTCAGCGGTAGGTACTTTCTCCTTTCCTATTCCTCTTTATAATTCATAGCTTTCGTCCTCGTTTATCTTTTATCATTTCATATACTATTACCACTTCTTATTTTCAACTTCCTACTGTGTCGGTATTTCTTAACATAGCCATCATATGAATTATAAGATATAACCACTGTTGACACTTATTTCCTTATTGTTTATGCTTTACATGAATATTACATATATTTTATATATTCATCGGTTATTCGTAACGTATAAAATATTCCTCGTATTTTTCACACCACCACTAATCCTGGGACTTAATATATAGTAAAATCTCCTAAGATTTCGCTATATTCGAATGTAGTTCTAACAATGCGACGTTTTATTATGTAAATAATCTTTGTGATACAATAAGTAGGAAAAATAGAAAATGTTACCAGGTATCCATAGGATCATAGACAGTGATGTAGTAATCAGAGTTCCATAATGTATGACAGCATGGGAATAATGTTGGCAAAGATACAGCAAAACCTAATGCATAACCAAACAATATTGCAAGCAGTGCTTTTCGTGGTGAAAATAGCCATTTATATTCCATTGGATAAACTATGCTCACAAATCTGCAAGTTGTTTCTTTAGAAATGTGGAAATTGTATTAGCTATGCAAATAATCAAATATAAGAGTTTACCCAGGTATAAGAATAATAGATATTTTCATATCTGAACACAAAACTTAGAGAAACTAATAAGGGAAGCTGAACTTATTACTGGATAAACATTATCTTCATGAGCCTCACTCGAGATTTGTCGATTAACATATATGCATTCATAGAAGAGCATGTTAGCTAAACGATTCGTAACTTGTTTTTCAACAAGAATTTCAGATAAAATTTCAAAAATAAAATAACAAACCTGTTACATGCCATAAGGCCTAACTGTAAAACAGCTGTATACCAAAATAAATCATAGAAGAATATCATAAGTACATTGCGAACTGAGTGAAAATCTAGGAAGGCACTATGAAAAGCCGTCGCAGGCACGAGATGAGCTAGACTAATCACTACCATTATTATATCGCAGGTAGCCAACGACGTTATAAACCAGTAGCTGAAATCAAATATTCACATGTACGATAATAATAGCACAAATATAAATTTTTTAAAGAAAATTGAGAAATCAATTCAGATCTTAGATCATAGTTTATGAATTCCGATTAACAAAGAGCTAAGTAATGGAAATTCTGATTGTTCTGACTCATTGAATCGCTGTTAATTTAAATATCATAAATTATACTTCTTTCCAAGGATTTTCCTTTGATGATTTTGATTGCAAAAATTTTTCCATATCCTTATCATGTGTAAAAATGCATGACGTGATGTAAATAAATTAATTTATAAGAGAGATGTCATTTAAAAATAAAATATCGCTAGCTTTTTAGTACTTCCCTCTTTTCAACGACTATCAAGAAATTTAAAAATAGTTCATATGAGGCGGATAGATAGAGCTTCACTGGAAGTGTTGTCTCACTCACTCGCCAAATCGGCAAATCCTAAACTTTATATCCTTCTCTTCTCTCCTCTCTTTCTCTAAAAAGCACATATCGACTTACTTCGCATTCCTAACTTCACTTCAACTATATAAATACTCCAGCAATGATCGCTAGTGAAATATGAAAAAAATGTTTCCAAAAAATGAACTTGCAATAATCAAAGAATCTAATTTTAGAAAAAAGAATTAAGTACAGAACCTATTGATGTAATGCAAATACTTGCTGCAAGCTTCATGTCACTACTATATGCAATAAAAAAAATCAGTTTATAGAAGTACCAATTTTACCACTTAATTATCATTTATCAGAATGAATTTATTCCAAATTCATTTTAACAATGATTGATTATGAATGAATGAAATTTCTTATTATACTGTCTTATCCACCAAATAAATTCAGCAGTTATTCACTTTAAGAGCACACTGTTAACTGCAATTCTCTAAGATACTTTATTTATGCATATTCTCTTGTCAACGACTGATTTTGGATCCTGATTTCTGATAGTATCTAAAATGATATGATTAAATAAGGAGGCTGATCAAACAATAGATTTTTAAGTCTTCTGAACAAAATATACTGTAGTTTTCACTGCAGCATTATCTTTTTTCCAATTAATGCTGGCTCACCGTTTTACGAGTTCACTTGGTCTTATTCTACGTAAAAACTTTTCCACTTTTTCGTCACAAACCACTGGTAGAAGCTTAAGATCTGAAGTACTGGCACATCGATTGAAACGTATATTGGAAACAAATTTTTACAGGTTTAACCCTTCTGTATGTTTCAGTCAGTTACTAATTCGGCGGCATTTCCTTATTAGTGTTTCCAAACCTTTATTATTAGGTAGCATACACTTCTGAAATCCTAGTTTCACTTATTTCTCATTCGAATTTTTGTCTCCAACTATATAGCATTGTGAAATGCAAAAAATTGACTTTTTGCTTCATTTCTTTATTTCTCTAAGTCTTTTTCTTTTCTTCAAAATTCCTCACTTTTGCTAACCTTAATAGAAATGCAGTTGGAGGGTTTTATTCCTACTAGTTCAAAGATTTCTCCGAACTTTTTTTCACTTTCAAAACCCCTCAATTTTATAGAAAATACACTTGGTGGATTTTATTAGTATCAGCTTAAAGAAATACACTAATCTATTAGAAGCGAAATAGGTGATTTTAAACTATGTAGAATGGATCGCAATAATAAATCTCTATACTCCTATTGGATATTCTTTACTAAGCTTGTAGGCTAATTTCTTCATTTTACGAAACAAAACATTCTTTCATAAAAGTTGTTTAGAGATAAGATTCTTTCTTAGAAGACCCGCTATCTTGAGTTCTGATTTAGTATCACAGAATGGTCCGAAATACATGGTATTACTACGACTTTTTTTGGCTCCTATTAACACTTAGTAGTTAGCATTTTTTAAGTCGATTGTTGCATCATCTCTTATCCAGTCGAAAACTCAGCTAAAGCATCGTGCCATCTCTTCGGCAGGCAAGACATACGGATGACGTAAGAATGGTTATGACAAGAATATTATTATAATCCATGCAATACAAATAAAATGGACATTCTCTAGAGAACAATGGACTATTATTACTTGGATTGACACTTCAGATTCGCAACAATGGTTCAGGAAACTTCTCGAATTAAGAACAAAAATTTTCCTCCTAAACACATTTTCAGAAACATATATCGTCATAGCCTAAACTCTGGTACTCCTGTCTGAGTAAGAAAGTCCTTGCTGCGTTACTCAAACAAAATTTTATTTGCCTAAAGTTATTAAGAAGTAGAAGACTTCCTAGGCTAAAGTTAGTTGGAGAGAAAGAATAGGCAAGACATAAACTTGTTCATGAACTAGTTCTTATTCATCTATAACCTGCAGCTTCCTCACCCATTATTACGGGACGACTTCTATGATTTTTCATTGTTTGGCATTGAGATGCTCCGTCTATTCAGATACTTTATAATGTTAATTCGAATACTGCAGTGGGAGTAGGAGATTACTCATGCACTATATTCACTCATATCGACATTTAGGAAATGCACTCGGTTAGATGATGATTGGATAACTGAAGCAGTGTTCATTGGAAGAGTTTACAAAATCATTTCCGTTACTATCCAGGATTAAAATGAAAATTCGTGGACCTTGAAAGCGAGTGGCGCATATTTAGTCTTTTCATCATCCTAGGTGTCAAATTATTGGTATGGAAAGCCGCTTATTTATATCTTAGCAATATTAATGCTAAAATTGGTATAATAAATTAATTGCAAAGCAATGATTAGGGACAGCAATAGCACCAAAAAAATACCTCGTCGAGCATCGCATAGAATTATTGCGTGCGATACCAATCAGAATAAGAATATTCGAAGCAAGAGCATAACTAAGCATTATCAGCCATATCGTAACAACGACAATATCATCCCGACGTCGTTCCCAAGTCCTAAAAATTCTGCTTTCATTATTACTCAGTCTATATATCATACTGATTTCTAGGAGTTTGCTCTTTTCGACGTCCGAGTTAGCAGCTACAGGTTTCCAATCCAATATGATTTGGTATGTTCTCTAGTTTCCGTTTGTGTAGAGACTTTTTTTTTCCAAGCAGTTCTCTTCCTTTCAAACACTTTTTTGTTCTGGAAAAACCGAAGCAAAAGTGCTCACCTTACATAGCTTTAAAAAGCTTTTAATTTTTTTTTTTCAAAAAAAATTGGTTGATAATTCGTGTTGGTTGTTAATTCCATTACTAAATGAATTCATTTTCTCAATTTATCATTATATATCATTTCCCATGAAAAAAAAATCGAACTTATGTTTGATTTTGTGTAAATGAAGTTGAAATTCACCGAATACTCACATTGTACCCAAAGACAAAGCGATGTTTTCAACAGAATAACAATAACATATTCAATCATTTCCTATTTCTTCCCCTAAATCCAGGAATTTACGTATTGAATTATTCAAATGCCTTCTTTTTTATTATTCGATGGACAAGAAAGTATTGGAAAAAGAATAGCAAAAGTAGTTCTCGCCAAAAAACTTTACTTCTTAGTTCCTTTGTTTGTTCCGGAACAAAGAAAGATTACCTTATTTCTGTTTCTTTTTATTTGATTAAACTAATCTCAAATAGATTAAAACTTGCCTTTCGTTGCCTGAAAACTGGCTCTTAGTAGTGAATTCGGTAAATGCGGAAGACTGTGTCATAATACTTTGTAAGGAAATGATTACGTTATTTCTGGGTGAACTGAAATTCCAAGGGGCAAAGTGGCAAATAAAAAAGATTTTAATACAAGCAAACGAAAAGTGTACAAAATGTGTTCGCATGCGACACACTCATGCACAAGTCGCAATTTGTTCTGCATTAATTATTACTTCAAAGATCTCAATAACTATTTAAAGAGTACAATGAGATAGACATGTTGATACATAAGTGAACAGTTAGCTATGGAATATATTTTCTTTCGCAATCCAACATTTCTGAATCATAATACGGAAAAGGTTTCATATATAAAAGAAGGTATAATAATAATGATATAAATGTATGGCGAATGTATAATAAAATAGGCAAAAAATAAAGTACATAAATGGTTTCTTGATCATATTTATTCTGTTTAAAGAAAGCATTTTCTTTCGTTTGTTACCAATCATTTTGTCTTGCATATTAAAACATTTCAAGACTTCAATTGATTAATTATTTCAAAGTGGTACTCTTTACCAAATTTTTTGATAAAACATTACACCAAAATTCAACGCCTTTTTTGAGCAATTCAAGATCATTTAATAGAATATTTATATCTAATAACTAAATAAATTAGCAAATTGTATTTGCTCAGCAGGTGTTACTTTACTACTAACATTTATCATTATTACCCTTTTTATAAAAAAATATTGACAAACGTTAGATGATCCGAAAAAGTACTAAGGAATGTGTTGAGTCAACAAATGCAAGAATGACAAACAACGCACACGGTAGTGGTATAATTTCATATCATATTGTCTTTCTCACGTCACTAATTAAAAATATGTTAGATTAAAGAAATCTTTTAAATTCTTCAGCTCAGTTTGTTACAAGTACTACGAGTCAGCTATTCATTATACTATTCTAAACATTATTCACTACACTATTTGAATGTTTTTAACACTAACAAAGATTTACATGAGTCTTCAGCAAAAGTTTAAGCACTTGTTCTTGCTGAAATCTTTATTCGAAGCTGCTCTTAAATAAACAAATAGTCTATTTATCACATTTCGAAGCTCTTTACAAATTCATCGAAAACCTACATAACTACCAAAACCTTCGTACTTAAGGTATGTTAAATTATTTCTGCTTGAAATGAGTGCGTGAAATTAATGACCTAGCCTATATGATTTGTATGCAAAAATGATTATAAATTCACAAATTTTAGTACCAAGAATAAGCGATTGGAAGAATTCTGTAAAATAACGACAAATTATTTGTTAAAGCTAAAATAAAGGAAATTTATTGTTTCGACAAAGTGAAAATGATTCTAATCAAGAAATTTTAAAAATTAAACAAAAAAAAAGAATAGGAGGAGACATATTTCCAATCATAAATATCTTTTAGAATTGATTAAAGAAGGACACACAAGCTGATGCGAAAATTTTAAAGAAATATGGAATGTCAAGATGGTTTTATCTTTGAAGTTAAATTAAGAGCTTATCCAAGTCTTTTTTTAAGCACAGTGGCGTGGATGAACTTTCGCTTTACATACAAACATTATGTTTGAAGAAGAAAATATGGCTTAGGAAGGTGAATACTTGTCACAGTGGTTTTATAACTAAAGCTATGCTTATTCGGAGATTAAAATTCAAAATAAATGACAGAATAGGTGCGCATTGAAAGAAGAATTTTTTTAGAGCAGGACAAAGATGTTAGCATATTATAGTGCTTATACAGCATTTTTTAAACAAACAACAATTTTTAAATAAACCCTTACGTTTCAAAATTCAGTTACACAGAACAGATTTATATTTAACCACTAAAGCAAATTTCTTATTTAAGGTAGTAACATTTCCGAATATTTTGAAAAAATAATTTTTGAAATTAAAAGGGCATGTCAGTTTAAACATAACTAATGAAAAATGCATTTAGTAAGCATATTTCATATTAAGATTTTTTTTCACCGTTTAAAAACTCAAAAGAAAAATAAAGGAAAAGATGATTATACCTATATTTGTCCTGCTCTAAAAAAATTTTGTATAGAAACAAGATATTGAAATTAGTGAGAATTAGGGAAGAATGAAGCTTTGGTTAAATGTACTTATTCAACATCACCAGAAAAAAGGCGAAACAGTATTAGTTAGAGAATGAAGTTCATTTAATACTGTTTAACACTCAGATTTGTCATCCTGGCCAATATGCAATTGTTTATATTTTATTTGCTCATCAGTACATTTCATTTATACTCAAACTGTGGTCGAAATGGAATTGTATATATGAGAATAAATGAGTAGCAGCAATTGATTATAGAGCATCGTTGAGGAAAACTTAGCATTAGACTTGTTACTTCATACGATCAACTAGCCGTATTTAGAAATGTTGACAATGAACACTGACTGGCATCTCTGCTATTCCCACTACTTCCATCTTGTTGTTTTTCAGAAAAAGCCCTAAAGCATAATTAGATGTTAAAATGTAGTAACTCTTACCTTATTGTTCTACATCCTTTGGACGAATATTAAAAGTGATTTATTTCAGTGAATGAGAAACCAAATATATAAAAAAAATTTTATTTTCATAGATCTAATTGGAATGCTAAAAAATTTTTGAAAAAAGAAAAATTCTTCATCTAATAATAAGCAGTCAGCGCAAATTTAAATTGGTATATTAATTTCTAAGATACCTTTTATTTGGTATTTTCCTAATTACCAAAATTGCTTCATACCTATTCTCCAATTTTTGTCCTCCTAGAAAAATTTTCTTCATCACCGTTCAGGTGAAGATTCTATTGAGACTTGAACAACGAAACTTACCTTTATTGTTTGAGGCTCTGGTTTACCATAATTAATAATAAGCTTTATCTACTGCTTGATTATTATCAGATCTCGAATAGTTCCATAACAAATATGAAATCAGAGATTAAAGCAAATGTATGAATGATGGAATCAATAGTCAACAAGTATTTACTTACAAATATCTGTGTAAAATAATTAAGATATTCGTATTTCCACAAAATTTCATTTAAATTCAGCTACAGTTATCGACATTTTTAAAACTTTGAATTTTATTTACATATAGAAAATATGGACTTTAGTATGAAATTCACGCAGTTACAAAAAATTTAACAGAAGTTCATATTTTCGTTGGAGAATGTGTAAGCATGGATTGCTCGAGAGGGATTGTTAGAGTTGTAGTCAAGCAGCTCCCCAAAACAAGAGAATGCGAATTAGATATAAACCTAAGATATAAAAGAATATAGTTGGATTAAGTAATTAGTATTCGTAACAAAATTTAAACATCGTGTTTAATTAAAAATATGTGTATTAGGACAACAGTAAATGAGAAAAGAAAATACTTTTGAACAATTGCCAACAGCCAATCTCACATTCATATAACTTGCATTTTACTTACTGGTGAGAGAGAATAATTATGCTTGCGTAGTGTAACGCCAAGCTTGATTTATCATCTTCCTTTATGCTTCAAGCACTTTCCAAAAGCTTAGCAGAAAAGGGAGTCAAAGACCGACCTCTCTTATTTTCTTTATATTTGCTACAAGGATCGACGAATTTTCAAAATTGTTCATAAAGATATTTATAATCTCTTGCTGTATCTGTTGCTTACTTGAATTTGAAAAAAAGAATTGCATCTTGCAACTTGAATTTTAATATATAATCAAATCACATGATGTTAGAATGTTAAATATTCACAGTATATGAAAATTCTAAATTTTATATTAACAATAATTTTAAATGTATTGTAGCATCAAAAATTCCGTGTGCTACTTCTAATTAAAACATAAAATGTTGTAAAAGTTAAATTGAACGAGACTGCTCAGATTTGTCGAATCTTGACATAAAATTAAATAAAATCCTAAATATAAGTTAAAAGATTTTCTAAAAAAATATGCTAATAAGAAATTGATGAGCTTATGCTATTGAACTTCAAATATCATTGATTTACAGACAAGCGAATAAAATGAAAAATTTAGGGTTATTAAAGCCTTTTTTATGTTATACTTTTTTTTAACAAATAAAATTTTTTCCAAACTTTAGACCTCAAAATTCAGCATGAAATTCTTTTTTTAATGAAATTTTTTTAGAATAGAATTTCTAGAAAATAAATTTTGTTTTAAAAATTTCTAAGAAATCCAAGGATGAAAATCTTGTAACAATTAGGCTTCTGATAAGAAAGGTATATATTAATGAGTCAAATATTACTGATATATATATAAGTTAATCATGTCCCTTCTCCCTTTATCATTCTATCATTATCGTCCTTCTTTATTCGTAAATGCTTTTCAAAATAATTAAACTAGTATCATATAAACATAGTATCATATAAACATTATACAAAATGCTTTACTAATATCGCCCAAAAAACTTGGAAACTTGAAAGCATCAGTAGTATGATGATAGTGGCAGCAAAAAATGTTCTTTATTTGTATTACATTCGTTCTACTCTCTTTTTTAGAACTGATCGTTATGGTCAGTCTTTTTCTTTTATCATCTCAGCAAAAACTGAAAGAAAAATTTTGTTTCTTTTATGCAAAATTCAAATTCATCCATTTACAAAACTCAGCAACTAACTTTCACTCTAAATGAATTTATGGCGATATTTCCCAAACAATTTTATAATACCTCCATTTCAATTAACGGATGAATTACATGCCTAATATTTAGCTCAAATAATAATTAATAATATTAACAATAACAAATTCAAAAATTGCTACTGGCTAAAAATTGAAAAACATATGATGACTATGACGTGATAACTAAGTGAAGTGCAAATAATAAGTGTTAACGAATAATTAAATTTTTAGTAAACTGACAAGTCCATAAAGATTAAATTTATGTTACATTATCTATTTCGTGTGATGAAAAAATTTTGTAGATGATTGAAGGCTTTTTTATAGTTGGTAATAACTTTAAGATTGATGAAAATTAATTAAATAAATTTTACTACTAAAGGAAAAATAATCCGTTTAGGATGATATGAAGAAATAACTTAACAGCAATGGAACGAGTTATTGATTTTTCGGTGATAGTTTAAGATTGGTGTTCAGAAATATAAACATTTAGTGATTACAGAAAAGTGATTTGATAACTCTTGCTATAAATTTTCATCAACAACATAAATTTTTTGAAATTGTAGTGCGTACAAATAATTGCACAGTAATACTTAATTGTGCAAATGTGAGAAAATATTTTGTAGTAAATCAAAAAAAATTTTTTTTTGTTAGTTTAGATGAATTACAATCTAAATTGTGGAACCAAATCAAATTGAGCAAAATGCTTTAAAAAATCAACGAACTATAGTTTTTCACACAAAAATATTAACAGATGATTTTGACAATTTTCCAGGAATTTCAATTTCTAGTTATTCAACGGATAAAATATTCTTTTTATAACAACATTAGATTTTACTGCCAGATATTTACATAAACAGGCTTGAATTATTGAGACAATTTGTATAAGCTAATATTAGTGAATAACTAGGAGAGAATTAATGGTTGGAAGGAATATTTTTTATGTTTTTTTTTTTTAATATAATAGAACAAATTTCATCTTCGGTATCTCACCAATTCCAAATATTTATTGACTTCTACATAACTTTTACAGCGCAAGTTCCAACTAATTGATTTAAAACTTAGTTAAAAACTTTTGTATAACGTTTCAAATTAGAACAAATTAATATTGATTTATCCAAAATATTTAAAGTCACACCGGTATAACATGAATATATTGTTACTGGAATCAAAAGATATAATCAAACATCAACTATGCTTTCAAAGTTAAGAAAACTTTCCACATTTTAATGATGACAAGTGACAAACAATGATTAAATAGCTATGAATTTGCCTTTTTTTTAAAAAAAAGGCTACCAAAATATTCACTATTCGGGGGAATTCGGAATCTAAATGTAATGAAAAGCTATAAAATTTATTGCTTTGGGAAGAATCGCACCGTAAATATTTAAATAGCAGAATATGATTGGTCTCTAAATCTTTTATGAAAAAGCAAACAGGAGCAGCGGCATAACTAAGACCAAATTTCAACAACACTTTTTTTTTTTTTCAATCACATTTAAACTTGAAATATCTTCAAATAGAAATTCCGGTGGAATCTTACAAAAACAAATTTATTGAACATACCAACTTAAAGAAACAATAGGTGTTGAATTGAACTAAAGCAAAGCTTTGTGATAACATGTAGCATGACAAAATGATAGAACATTTTTTACATCTTAATTTTCGCCATTGCATTTATATGCAAAAAATGTCAAACTTTCTTGATGTCATTTTCAATAATTAACATTACAATGACATTAAATAAGTGCTAGAAAACAAAATGAAGGGATAAAAGTATTTAAGACTGCTGAACTACCGACATGTATGTGAAACGCTTGAATCTTTAAATTTAAAAAACAAAGAAATTCCAAGTAGCACAAAAGATTATAGATTTAGTTTAAACAAAATCCTAAAATCTATTGAGTTCCTTTTTTCATGAATATATAATTTCGAGGACGAAACCTTAAACAGACTCTGTTATTCAGTGAGAATAATGCAGGAATTGTTTTCTTTTTTTTTTTAAAATATTGAAGAACTATTTTAGTTTCAGAATTGTACTTTTTAATGATTTACTTCGATAAGAATTACACGTGCCTTAAAAACAAACCTTTTGCATTGTGCTTTTCAATACTGGCTAGTAAATACAAGATATCATTCTCCTGAAGCACATGTTTTTTTGAGAATTTATTTTCACCAAAATTGTTTTTACATCTAGAACCAAAAATGTAATTTATTAAAAAAAAGCTGCAATGCATAATTATCACTTTGCACGATCAAAGAAGCATGCAAAAACAGCAACGAATAAATTTTCCAAGTGTAAATGCTAGCTGTGAATTGACTTGTTTGACATGCAATCTGAAATCCTAGAAGTGAATGAAATTTTATAATCTCAAATAAATTGTCTAAATTTATTTCTGCTTTAATAGCAACTTTTATGATATAATTTCATAGTACTGCTGCTTAAAAATAGAATAATACTTAACTAGTAAGAAAGCCAATTTAATCTTGCTTGTCACATTTTAATGAAAAAAAAAACCTGTGAAAAAAAGGTGGTGCTATTCCTCAACGAATTAAATTATATTCAATTTGCTATTCAATAATTTTGTTATCATCTTGTTTCGGATTTACGCGCCATCAGATTTGGCTATTCGCCCCAATTTACAAATTCTACCTTCTTTTTTTAAACTAATTTTATATTGCAGGTGAGTCATAAAATATTTCACCCAGTTATTTTACAAAGTAGTTTCATGACTTATATTGACTGAGAAAAAATGAAAAAACGAATACAGGACAAATATGATAACAAGTTTTAGGTTGAATTCTAGATTGATTTTCTTTCAAGAAAAACTTTTATTTTTGAAATAAATAGTCGATTTCACAATTTATGATTTAAGTCTAATGAAATTCAATAGTCGTTGATTTCGTTGTAAATCAAATTCTCGAATTTACGCCAGCGACTATGGTTAAAATCAGTCTAGCAAAAAAATTGAAGCTGGTATATGGTCCGATTTGATAAGGATTGGTTTGGAATAAAATATGGCACACACTATTATAAATCAAAAAATTTGGATGCATGCCTACTCACGCGAAAGGGAAACTAGAAGAAAAAAAAATGAGAAAAGAGTGCAAAAAAGGCAAAGAATTCAAAATATTTAGGCAGAATATTGAAGTAATCTTGACCTTACTTAATGTTACCAAAAAAAAAAAAAGCTTTTGCAGTCGAAATGTCAATTTAAAAATAAATCAACTTGAATAATTCTTTAATAATGCCATATTTCTATGAAAACCTTATGAGTATCTTGAAGTTCTTGGTTTGTCTTTTGCTTTCGTTTCACGATGAACAGATGGGATTGAAAGAAGGCTAAGATAGCAGGTGGTGGCCTCAGTGGATTTTTTACCTGAAACTGATTACACCTGCTTCTTCTTTCTTATGACTAATGCCCACACGAAAGATCGCAATTATTCAATGTCACAAATTCTGATCTTTGATCAGTGCTAATATGGTCATATTTCTTCTTTTTTTTCGAAAAAAACGCAACTAAATAATTTATTACTATAAATTAAACCCTAGGAATGTGCGAGTTAAATGGATATTTCAATATAAGCAGCATAGTTTTATTGACATTGAAACAATTGGGACACATTAGTCACAATAATTTTGAATTACTTCAAGGTTCTTCACTTATTAATATGGAAGAAAGATTGGTAAATTCAAAATCTCTGTTAAAATGAATTAATGGACCGTTGTTGACCACAATATGAGAAATGCTTACTTCATATCTGCTAATTAAGTAATTTTGAGAATAAAGTGATGTATAAGATAAGGATGTGGAAAATGATCATTTTTTTGGTTATAAGCGAGGATAATATATGGTATAATAATGCAGCAAATCCAACCACTTTCCATAAATTTAAACAGTTATTTTCTACAAATTCAATGAATTAAAGTGCTGTTTGTTTAAATTTTGAATTTTGAGAAAAAAAAATTGTGTTTAAGCACATAAATTAAATGCTCTGTTAAAGTTTCCTCTGAAAATCATTAATGATCGTATCTCTGGTATCCAAAAGTAGTTTGTATGTGTACACTTCCGGTAAAATAAAAAAAAAAAATTCAGTATTTGGAGGTTCTGATATAACTGCGAGTTAACAAATGAAAATAGAGATGTAAAAAAGGGGCTTGAAATTTGAGAATGTCTTGACGGATGAAATTATTAGTGCAAAAAATGTCATTGCCTTTTAGATTCTATCTGTCATAGAAAGATTGCTTCATCACACTACACTTCTATTCAAATTTTATAACTAATCTGACTTTATTGATATAACTGTTTAAAAGCATGCTTGAAACTAGAACATGGTGATATGGAAAGCTTGAAAATGACAAATTTAGCCTATGTTGGGAAGAACAGTTTATTGTTAATTCCCATTAAAAATAAAAAAAATCTTGAAAATTCTTTGAGAAAAAAAGTTAGTGATATTGTAATCATAATATAAGTTGATGGTTGACAGATAATAATAAATTATTTAATAAAGTTCACTTCTTTTCTTTCATGACAAGTTCATCAATTCATCAGGGAGATTAAAACTTTTATCTTCAAAAAACTGATGAGAAAAGGAAATGAGAAATAGGAGCATTGCTCCTTGTTATTCAGTTCATCCTTTTCTTTTATGAATCAAGCGATAACAAAGATTGTCATTTCAAAATTCTATAAATAGAAGCAAACGAATAAGCGTTTTCAGCCCTTTAATAATATCCCAAACAATGAGCCAATACTTCCATCCCACCTTAGAACCTTTAATTTTATCGTTCTTATTTAGAGAATTCCATTTACAAAAATTTAAAGTAACAACTTCATTTCACTGCATATTTCCTTCAGCTAAGAATAATTCTCTTAGCTTCATCAATCTCCTAAAAGAATAGATTTTGTCAATTATTAAAGTCTGAAAATTAAAGTTCATTGTTGTGTTGTAGAATTTCCAAAAATTGAAACCATTTCAAATTCTTTCACTGAAATGTTTAGTAGTGATGAAATTCAATTTTACTATGTCAAAGGCTTTCTTGAAATAAACAAAAATCAAAATTTTCTCTTATCAGTATCAATTTGGATAAATTTTTGCACAGCAATTAAACTAATCCGCTATTATGATACCGATGAAAATCATATCAGATGAAATTTCGGAAATTTTGTTAAATCATTCTCAATTTTGTAAATGGTACTTTTTATTATTTTCAACTTGCTATTTGTCTCTTTATTATTACATACCATCAATTTTTATTCCATAAATTTCATTCTATATGATCACACTTTTGTAACTACCAATTCGATTTTCATGCATGTTATGCTGACAAAATATTGAATTTTCACTACTTCATATGATTCTGTCGTCTTTTGAGATTTAGAAAAAGTGAAAAAGTTCATCGTTGTTGACCTTACTTGCACATAATTTTGTAGCGAGAAAAAAAGGAGAAAGCTAATTAGAGTTTGTATATACAAATATCGTAATTGATGCATTTCAGGTTACTGGTGGTAGCATTTAACAATGCAATTTTTGTGCCTGTGATTCACTAATAAGAAATTTTAATATGTCTGATTTAATTCATAAAATATGGTCTAGAAAAAATCTGGAAATTGAAGTTGAATTCTAACCTAAGAATAAATATTAGCAGGAGAAAAGAAGAACAAATAGATAGGGTTACTAATGAATTTAAACAAAATTTTTATCTGAATAGCTATTTATCACCTTATATGACAAAATATACCTCATTATGTGTTATCTGTTTTCTTGAAATAGTTTTTTGGATTAACATCGTAAAAAAAAGAAATTGTTTAATATACATCAATAGCAATGATACGACAAATTGAAAATTTCTCAACAGAAAAGTGAGAAATAAGTACATATCATGTTCCTCTCATAATACAAATAATGCATATTATTACCAGAAGTAAAAAAGGAACATTCATTATGAATGTGTGAAATTTCTTGAAGTCTTGTTTTGATACCTGGAACTGAACAATTTCGCTGACTTCAGATTGATTTTCCTTTTCATGCGATAATAATAAGAGGTGTCTTAGTGTGAACTTGTAAGTCGGATATGCATCTATAACTATGTCCTAGCTAGTCTTCAAATTATTCTTCCTGTATTCAAAAAGAATACTTTGAATTTTTTTGTTTCATATACCTTATTAGCATTCTCGACTTTAGATCTCCTAAAATAAATTTTCGTTGAAATCATTTTCAGGAATTTTTTGAGAAAGGTTACAAAATGATTTCTTAACATTTCTATTATCACATCCGAAAATATATAATATGAAAGATCATCAAGAAATGCATTTCCAGAGAATTTGTCACTGACAATCTTGAAGATTGATCCACTTGTTATCACTTTATCTGCTTGTCGCATACGACTTATAAGTAACAAAAACTATTAGTGCTGCTGGTGATGACTTCATGCGCGATCTGCAAATGAAAAATTGATGATACAACGTTCCGTCAAACTGAAGCAAATTTTCTGCAAAAATCTTTATGATAGCTAACGGTAAATTTAAGAGTGAGAGTTTTCAGAGGCTTGCATAAAATATTCGATAAGGTAATTTAACAAAAGTTTTCTGATTCTGCTAAAGATTAAAACTCATAGTTGTGAATTAACTGCATCATATAGGCCATATTTTGCAAGCTTTGAGTTTTTAATTGAATTTTTAAAATTATTTGAAAATCAATTTGCTCTCTTTTTTCTGACATAGGGAACTGATTTGTAAGCAATATAATATCATCGAAAAAATAGACAAAATCACCTACTGCACTTATTACTTGGTTTTAGTAATGTCCATGTAATAATTTACTAAATATCACTTTCGATTAGAGCAAAAATAATGACTCACTAATTTTCATTTTATTGTCCCAAATCCCTTGCAACCTTAACGAAAAATTATCGGTTTCGTTTAACTTCCTTTTACGTTTACTGAGGAGTTGGTGACGTCATTTTTCTTTTCTGTTATTGTTTGCCTTCTAAGATTTTTTCTTTTTTCTTTGAGACATTGAATAAAACGAAAGGCCAAAAAATTCAAATGGTTGTTCATTTCAGCTGAATTCTCGTGATCATCGGAAATGATAATGAGAAGCAAAATCATGCTTGCAGATGTTTGCAGATAATTTTTGAGATTAGTATTACAATCATTCTTTAAAATATGACCCGTAACTTCGTAACTTAATTTTTGAAGAAATTTATCTTGCAGAATTTATTCCTTATTCAGAATACTCCAGAAGAAAAGTGAATTACTCGCTTGCTGACACCTTTATGCAGAACGGATCAACGGAAAATGCTTTCATTATCACATACAGAACTATTGCTATTTGTTATGATTCAATACTGAATTTTTTAAATTGTCAACCTTTATCAGTGATAATAAATATAAATTGGTGGCAATTTACGACAGAATACAAATAAAGATCATTGAGAGCAGAATATTATTAAATTATAGTCGAAAAATCCAGTTCTGGATCTAGGTATACACACTTTGTCTATCCTTGAAATATATTTATATCATAAGAAATTCCCTAAAAGTTAGATTTTACAGACTATGGAAAAGTTTTACTAGTCTGGAGGATTGTTGAGGTGGTAGTGAGTTAAAATGCAATACTTGGTTACACTATAATCTCCAAAATCGGACCCATATGCTTTATATCGTTAAAGATGGAGTTATGCGCTGATAAGTATCATTAAAGTCATTGAAGCTTACAACGTAGTCATTAATTTTCCAGCAGTCGATATGCCAAAATATATTAGAATGGAATTTACTGAAAAATATTTTAATTTTCTAGATAGGACTTGGTCTTATAAATGTTGTATAACAAATTAGTAATATTTTTACAATGTTCATTGTTTTGTGATATATTGTTTCAAGAAATGGAATTTTTATATTCTGATCTTAAATGCAATATGTGCATAAACTAAGTTTCAAGATGTTTCTGAGGAAAATATTCATTGAAAAATATTATAAAGCTAGAAGTGAAGGATCTTTTTCTGCCTCACAGTAATTTCTGTCGTAGTCTGTAGACATTCTCGTTCATAATCCAGAACATCATGCGTGTAATTTGATGACCTGCAAATAGTTATTTAGCGATAAGTCGTGTTTAAAACTAACAGAAAGCATTGTTCTCAAAATGAAACTTTTGAAAATAGTGAAGATATAATTGAAATTCCTGCATGATGCTTAATGATACATCCAAATTCTAGTACTGACAATGACCAACCAGTGAGATAGAAATATATATATATCAAATTTCTGATGAAATGGCGCTTTTCCAATGATACTTTAGTTTGATTTAAAACAAATGCAGCTCCCATTGTACCTCCATCAAAATAATCTCCAGACCAGTTTGATGTTCCTACAATGTTAAATACACAGGTACTACTTGTTACAAGTGAAATAATTATTTCAAAACTTATCAATCGTGTAATATATGACATTTGAACCAACACAGACAGAAACAGACCAATCACAGCTACAGTATCTGTGACAAGGAATTTCGTGTGCATTCGCTGTTCGCGTTTCATAATATTTTGCATGTTAACATCAGTTGGAACTTTGAGAATTCTCTGGAAGGTAAAAACTTAGCCTCTCTATTTCCTATAAAATTTCCAAATCTATAGATTAGAACGGAGGAAAAAAAAAAGGAAACGTAAGATTAACTAAAAATTTGGTTTCAAATAGTGATTATAAATAATTTATAAAAAGCGAACCACTTCTATACTACTATCATTAATTCTGTTCAGTGTCTCCAGCGAACTAAGGAATCTTAAACTATATTCAGAGAAATGTATTGCTGCAGTGAGAATTTTAACTTCCACACCTCGTAATATTGCTCTTCGAATAGCATTATCAACGACAGGCCAGTATCTTAAAAAAAGAAATCGATCGATTATCTAAGTTTAAAAATGTATGGATAAATTGAAATCAAAGAAATAACGTTCACTTATTTTTATCTTATGCGTACCTTCTTCGTAAATTATAAATAAACATCGGGAAATAATCCATCACTTCAACGTACAAAAATTTTTTTGCCTTCTCAACGGCATTTAATATCGAGAAAAGATCCCAATTTCTATCAAGATCATTGAGTGAACGTGGTGATGCCTTTAAATGTTTTAGATATACTGCTGCTTGGTGTTATTTGTATCTTGGTTTAATTTCTACCTAATCTTTAATAATTTCTTGGCTTTTTTTTTTCAATCCAATTCTTCTATGTTCTAAACTTAAATACCTTAGATCCTGTGACTCTTACCAAAAAGTCATAAAAATATTTCCTTAAAAGATCAAGCTCAATATCATAAAATTTATGTTGTAACTTGCAGCTATATAAACATCAGCGAGAACGTGTTCATTATTGTTGCTTTTATATTTGTCGCTGGCAATTTCCCAACATTTTTCGAATATATTTGATAAATCTTTCGCCAAACATAAACAGTTCTCGACAATGATTCCCAGTTCAAGTTTCTTAAGAAACAAATAGCACAAGAATTAATATCAACTTCTTGAAAGTGGTTTTAAATAATCCTTTTAAATAGAAAAAAAATTTGCAAAAAATTAGTGAAATTAAAAAATATTGGTCCTCCGCAATGATTGTTCTCTCTCTCCCTCTCTTCTGTTATCTCTAATATGAAAATATTTTTCAAAGAATAGTACTTGGTTAAGTGATCTTCAATCGAGATTAGCCGAGCCAAGATAAAAGTGTTCAAAATCGCTTATGATAAATTTTGTATGCATCTTACCACCACCAAGCAAATAATCCAAATTTAAACTGCACCTGCTAATAACACCTCAAATATAACGCTTTATTTGACACATATCAACATTAGAATTTTGCTTCTTAAAGCCTTCATATTATCAGTTCCCTTGAAAATCAAATCACTCTCAAGGAATGGATAAAAATTCTACTCTAGTTTTATTTATCCTCTTCTCGGCTGTGTTTTATGGAAGAAACCTGCTTTAGCTAAGTTGATGCCATCCTCGTTGTCACCCTTATCTTTTGGGGGATAATTTTCAATCATTCGTATTCGAATCTTTCTTTTCAATCCTGCTTCTACTAAAGCATCGTAAATTTTACTGCCCTGACAAAAAGGTTAAAGTTAAGAGCTGACAGTAGTCAATAAGTCAAATTTCTGGATCAAACAGTTGTTTCACTACGATTCGTTTTCAATATTATTGGCTTAACAGGAAATCACAATCAGTATTATTAGTTTCGAAATCAAAATTGTAATAGCTTGTTACTTGATTAGAATGCCATTGACAATAATCATCATTCAAAACATGCTCGCCACGAAGGCTTGTTTTATATGCTACAAGAATTAATTCCTTCTCTGAATTTTTTATCAGTGAATTCCACGCACTGTAAGTTGAATGTAATCTAGTAACTGTCGTGAAAGTTAAATTATCTGGAGTACTTTGGACAAGTTTGATCCTGAAGCAATCACAACCATTTTTATTAATGCAGAAACTCTCACATCTTGCCTCTTTTCATACAAACTCATTACTCTATAAATAAAAATTTTCTATAAAACACCAGAATTCTTAGTGAAAACAAAAATCTGTTATAAGGAACCGAGGAGTGACGACGAATAATAGAAAATAATTCAAAGTTATAGTTAAAAGGAACTAATGAATTTATTCATCAACTATTAAATAGCAATTGCAGAAAACAGCTAAAATTGCTATACAGTTTTAATGATCAGTAAAATGATAATAATGGCAAAGTTTAATAATAAGAAATATTTAGCATGTCGTATCTTCAAAGTGGAAAAAAAGGCATGAAGAACAGGAAGAATGGAAAAATTCAGATTAGAATATGTATGAAACGAGATAGAGAACAAACTTGGATCTTGCAACTTGTATTTATTCCAGGAAAACATGAATTAATGATTGCGAGAGGAAAAAACCATACATGTAAAAATGATGAAATTACTTGTTTCGATTTTTAAGGTATATCTGGTAGAAATTTTTGAAGTTTCAAAGCTATACTTCGGCATACCTGCACGTTTGGGAGCATTCTGTTTCGTTCAAAAAATTTCCGTGAATTGCTTGCTTCTTAAGTTCCTCACAAGAAAAACCAAAAAAAAAAAGCTACAGGTAACAGCAAAACAATCAAAAGCTAAAATGGCAAGATAAAAGAAATTTTGATAAAATTAATCTGCACAATATAATCTCATTTGAAGTTTAGAAAGGAGAATTGAAAAAACTGCAGAGTAATAAATTACATGTGTAATTGCTTGATTCAATTTTTAATGCAGTCCAATTGAATATTTCGATGCATATTTCAATTATCTGAATTTAATGAGGAGCATTACCTTACTAGCCTTTTTAAAGTAGTTATTGCTAACATATATTTCTTGTACGTTTCGTTTTTTGTTTGTTTTCACTGCATAATTTTCACCTTGGCAACTTATTAAAGGTATGAAGGATTCGTTCCGGAAAGTCATTTCTCGTCTTGGATATGCACGACACAAAATTCTGAGAGTAAAAAAAATTCAAATTCACCTAAAACTATTAAATATGATGCAATATAAGATTTAAGGCTGACTTTTATAATGAGTTCACTGTGGTAAGCATAATCTCCATCTTTATAACAATATTCTTGTTGTCACCAAGACTATTAGTACAGTGGCCTTATCTCATATCGTAATCCGATACCGCCTGTTATCTCACAAAATGAAACATTCGTTTTACGTTGCTTGTAGTTATCTAAACCTTGAAAAATATAATTAAATCCTTGAAGAAATAACACTCGGAATAGTGCTAGTCAGCAATTCGCAAAGCTTTGATCAATTGGCACCACTGAAGTCGTTTTAAAATGTAGTGATCAGAGATCGTAATGCCGCAATGATAGCTTAACTGATAAGATATAAAAATAAAGCAACCTTCTCCTCAAACTGTTAAGCTTATATGTAAACATTAATTTTTAATAATTTATTTCTTTTAGACACATCTTCCATAAAAGTTATTAAAAAAGCGCCTTTTTCTTACAAAGACATTTGAAGCAAATGTAACCACTGGCCAATGATATTTATTTACTACACAAATCGCTAACTTCATTAGTTTGGCACATAATCTAGAAAATCAGAAAACGAAATACGAAGCCATGCAATATATTTTAAGTTCAAAATTAGTAATAGAAAAAACTTTTGAGATATTTAGTAGCAATTTTGTTTGTTTGCTGGATATATTTTATCTTTTAATTACAGCAATGTTCCTTATTAAAATTGAATTTTAAAAAATTTTAATAGGTTTGCTAAATCTCTTGCTTATTTTTTCCTCAGTGTAATTTTTCTCCCTGGTAACCAAAAGACAAACCTTTGCATCCGCAGTAATCATAGAACACCTATTTCAATTTCATTAGTAGCTCCATTTTCTCCATTTTTTTTTCCATTACCAAGTTTGTTTAAAAATGTGTACTAATTAATTTAACAATTTTGTTCGAAATTTTACAGAAATATTGATTTGTTCTAAAGCGAACAACTTGATTATTTTCGCTGTTGTATCTCCATTATTGTGAGGAATACCAAACGATCAGTTAAGAATTGTTTTAGCAAATTTACTATTCGATCGTTAATTCTTATCCATCCAAATTAGCGTTGTTGTTTACTCCTCAATTGGATTAGATCTCTGACATGCACATAATATCAATCTGCTCCTTTCTGATCCTATTAATTCATAATGCTTGTACTTTTCTCCTGCTTTCTGTTCCCTTCTCAGACAGTAAGTTATCTTCTTAAAACAAAATCACTGGAAATAAGAAAAAAGTTGATTTAGATTAGCTGCCTTTCCTTTCTCATTTTATTACTGATCTTCAAAAATTTGCTTATTTTTCATTTCTTTATTCTTAGTTTCATTTGTTTTTGTTTCTATAATTTGCATCAAATATTCTGTCAAGAGTAGCAACTATCATACTAAGTTGTAAATTTAGTTTAAAAAATTGTTTTGCCATTCCTTCAGGAATTGAGGATGACAGTTCAGATTAAAATCTGAACTAAAAATCTTGTCATACCCATGTCGTCATACGATCTTAAAATTCAAAAATAAATTTAGTCTTCAGGTAGAGCACCTAATACAAGAAGATGATCGATGAATTTTTGTTCTATCACTGTTCAAAATATTTCAGAAACTGTCTGATAATAGTTTTCCAACCCTTTAACTTCTTGCTTTAAAAGAAAAAATTTGACATGAATGCTAAAAAAATATAGTTTCAGAAAATTTCTTAACATTTCATGATTTAAGATTCATTCCGTGTTAGAGCAAACATCGGTACACATAAATAAATAATCACCTACTGTTGTGCAACTGCATGCCGGAAAAATTGGTAATCAATTTGTACCATTTCTGGTTCTCTGTCGTTATCATCTTCATTTCTGAAATAAGTAGCTTCGTCGTATAAGCCTTTGCTTGTAATCTCGCACTTACACTGATAGAGGTCACACCAACAGCTCTACTTGATTGAGCTGTTTACCAACGAATATATGGCCAATACTGAACAAGATATGATAACAATAAAATTATTGGCTCTACAAGATGGATTATGAACTTCTAATGCGTAGTGTATATTATATCCTGTGATATTCACTACCGCAACGACAATGGTTCAAATAGAACCTTTGGTTAAATAACAGATAGCATCGCGATGAATACCATGGATTAAAATATATAGAATCAACCGGAAAATTATTTATTCAATGAAATTTCCGGTGAGATTGTTACGATTGCATTGTATGCGATTGTATCTTATTACATAAGAAAGTGGGCAAAAATTATTTATTGAAAGCAAACATTATTTCCTTCTCTTTTCTTCACTTTCTAGCTTACACGTTTCGAATTACATGTCTTTTTGAAATCCAAAAAAAAAAATCTCTGGTAAATGTTTTTGGAAAATAAGACACTGCGGAACAATCGGAAACGTAGGCTAGAATATGAACCAAGATATTGAATTATCGAGTAATTTTATAAATTGATAATTATCTTTCTTCTATCCTCAAGCAACATACTGTCAACTTATTCGTAAATGCTGCTATCACCACTATTAATTCTTTTTCAATTATTCTTTCTGATGCCTCTGTTACCGTTCTCCGGTTAAATTACTGAATTTCCTTCATTCTATGGCTTTACTGAAAATCGGCACCTGCGAAAGCGGTAAATTTCTTATGTCCGAAGAAATAAAGAAAAATGATATACCTTCACACACTAAATTTATTTTCAACTCTATATCCATTTCAACAGAAATTACAATGGTAAGTGGTAATTACATCTTTTTAACGGGATTCACTCCATTTGACGAAAACAAAAAATTTTCAACATCTTCTCCTTCATGAACCATAAACGTTGATCTTTTTGCTCATTGAAAATGTTCTTCCTGAATATTCTATATATCCCACAACACCATAGCACTCGAACATTATGAAACGCGGCGAGGAATCGATGTGGGTTGGTTGACAGTGTCGGGTAATTTGTCAGTTGAGGAAGCATAAAGAAAGGATAAAAGACAATACACTATTCGAAGTTTTTTGTGTCACTCTTGTTGGTGCTATTCACTTCGTTCTCCCGACAAAATGCTGTTATCATTTTTTCAGGAATATTCGGCGTAAGTTTATAGTTAAATAGTTAAAGTACTACGTAAGCATGTGGTCAAAATGTCTTCATTTAATTTTCTCCCACACTTCATTGATTGCATTGTCAAATGCAAAGGAAGTTCTACAATATCGTCCACAAGAAATCAGATATTCAGAGGTCAATATATTTTTCACGACTTATTTTGAATTTTTTAACTCTTCTTTATGTATACCATACGCTGACATCTATTTGATCATCAACTAACATTTGCAAATTTCTTTGTTAGTTTAGTTAATTTCATGTTTGCTTACACGGTTGATCATTCTAATACTATATCGCAAGACAAATGTCATTAAAAAATGCCGCGTGTTCCAACTGCACTTGTCCCTGTTGGACTCAATCACATCACTACAGCAATATTTGACTAAAGCTACGAATTCAAATGTTTAATAGTTTTCATTGATGGTATTCATTTCAAATTTATTCTTTTCAAATCATTTATCACTTTACAGTTAATTTTTTCCCAAATGATATTTTACTTTTAATCACTCTATCATGAACATTTCAATCTTTCTTGCTGTTCTAACGGACAGATCCTTTCTTAATGTTCATTTTGTTTCGCACCATTTTAAAATAACTTAAGTCAACATTGAAGTAGAATCTGGTGTTCTAATCCTTTTCTTCATTTAAGTTGTTTGTCCACCTGTGTTTCATATTTTTAAATGAAATTTCTAAATATAAGTTTCCAAATATAAATCTTAACTCCTAAACAAGTACTTAGTATTGAATTACAATCAAAAGTCAAAAACTTTTTTTAAAAGCCAGCTCTACAATATTTAGAAACTACAGTATGGTGATCTTGACTCACACTTTGGATTTGCTTCTTTCTAAGGTAGTGAGATAGTCCTATTTTCTTAGTTTTATATGGCAGTTAGCCAAAACTTTGTTTAGAGAAGCATTACTAATTAAAGTTCTAAAGAATTGGCCATCATGTGGATTCATCTTAGATATGCGGCTTTTTAGAAGTTAGGTTTCTTCCTTTTCTCTTGTTATGGGAGTGCATGCGGAATCGTTCGTTTTAATGACTTTCCAGCAGTTAAGCATCCATTAACCAATTAATCTTTAATGACATTATTATGCTACTCGCCAGTAGTATTTTTAGAAGACATTTACTTTTTCCCTATTTTTACTCTAATACATATGAACTTATGGTGTAGAAGATTAAAATTTCGTAACCAGATAACTCCTGTTGTTTGGGCATAATTAGTTATTCCTGAACACTTAACAAAGTTAATTATTCCTGGATACTTTTGGA